CATGTGTGAATAGCTGCCGGAGGGATGGGAGAGAAAGTGTTGCAGGGTCACAGAATCTAAGGTCCGTGCAGGCCAGGAGAGGCTGCCCAGAATCAATTGCACTGCCATGACTCCCTCGCACAGGCTTGTGTTACTTTTTGTTGGCTGAAATGAGGTCTCTCGTCCTCTCAGACACCTTCTCACTCCCCTCAGGACCTTCTCTGTGGTGACTCCACTTCCACAAGGCAACAGTTCTGCCCCCCAGGAAGTAAATCTCTTTGCGCATCCCAGGAGCCCAATTCAGGGCTACGTTCGTGCTGGTGCGGCACGCATAGGAAAGGGAATACGGACAAATGTGCCTAGAGTTTTATCACCGTAAAGGGCGTGCGGTCCGGACACCTGGAAGAGCATCTTCTCCGCCCACCTGCCCCAGCTCAAGGACCATCCTCAGAGTGCTTCTTCAGGGGCCCTTCTGAATGACAACAGCAGGATGGATCTGAAAGAGGGGACACCCCTGGCTGTAACTTCTTTCCCAAAGCTGGGGAATCAAAAGACGCACAACGCAGTGCAAAGAGGTGCAAGCAAGAGATGCTAAAGAGCACGGAGTGACATGCCTCCAATAACCTAGCTATTTTGCTACATCAGAAGCAGGAAACAGGGGAGGGGTGGTGAATACCTTTGTGGCGTGGTCCTAAGATAACATGAAGGAGGCATTTGGAGTGGTGGACTAACAGGCCCAGGGCATCACATGCCAGGGCTGTGCCACTGCTGAAGTTACCCTGATGCGGGCCAATTTTGTCAGACAGCAACATTTCTACAAGGAACGATTGCTCAGAAAGTCGGCTTCATCCACGCCTCTCTCCGTCCGCAGGTGCGAACTTCTGCTGATGCTGCATTAGGATAACAACAGTCACAGAACAAAACCTTGCCTCTCTGAACATGGATTTGTGGGATGCTGCTCTCACAGAAAAGCAGAAAGTCTGACAACATCAATTGTCCAGCTTCCCGTAAAATCCGTCTGAAACATTGCTCTGTTCTAGCAAATTCTAAACCACACGTAAACACTGCCCATAGCTAGTCCTTCACGGGTGTTTTCAGAGGTTCGCAGGTGGTTTTTTTCTGTGTTGTTTTGTTTCTGAGAGATTGGTTTTGATTTCTGCTGGAAAAGTTGGCACACCAAGAGGGGAAACTGTTGGCAAGGCAGGGAAACCAACAATATAATCACATCTCACTCTTTATAATTTTGCATTCAGAGGAGTAAGCAGAAAGGTCTCTCAATGCTGCAGGGCCAGGTTACCACATTTGGAAGTGAGCAGAGCTTCGCACGGCACCGTCCTGAGCAGGGGGGTTGCGTCCCAGGCCCATGGGGGGGGGGTGATCCCAAGCCACCCCTCCAGGGCTCAGAGGGGCATAACCCGCTAGCTCAACTTTCTCCTGACCCCTAACCACTGGCTGATTTCCTAGCTTTGGCATGGCTGTTGCCCTCTTCTAGGAGACTGAGGCTAGAAGAGCTGTGAGCCAGTGTCGTGGTTAGAAGTGCTGGACTGGGACTCCAGATACCCAGATCCTCATCCCCCACTCGGCCATGAAGCTCACCAGCTTACACTGGGCCAATCACAAGCTCTTGGTTTCTCCTACCTCCCGGGGTTGTTGTTGCCAGGATAAAATGGCGAGGAGGAGGATCATGAAAGCTGCTTTGGCTTTCTTGAAAGAGGAAGAAAGGTGGGGCATCAATGTAGTGGAACCACCAGCCAGCCCCTCCAGATATTTTGGGGCCTACCTGTTTTGCCTTCAGTCTCACCTGTGACGACCAGGACAGAGGCAGCTGATGGGGTGGTCAGAGCACTGGGATCCAGGCACTGGCGAAAAGCTGGGCTCAGTCATTTAGCAGGGCTAGAGGTTGACAGCATGGTCAACGATCAGGGTCAGGGACAAATGCAATACAGTGCAAGAGAGACAGCACGGCCCAGAAACAGTCTGGTGGTCCAAAGCCAGGGATGCAGGCACATCAAGGTGGAGGAGAAGACCACAGAGCCAGACAAGAGCAGGTGCGAACACGGCAGGGATGAGCTGGGACAGGCAAGGACTAACCAGAGCGAGGCAGGAGCCGACGGGAGCAACCAGAAACACACAGAAAAGGACAAAAACAAGCAGGAATGAGGCTCAAGGCATGGTGCTTGGGAGGCCCAAAGCACAAGAGAGCCATGGAGACAACCTGGATCGCTACAGCCAAGAGCGACCCTGCAAAGAGGCCTTTTATTTAGGTTCCCAGAGTCCAGCAGCACCTCATGATCAACTGCTCCCTTCAAGGGCCTGCAAAGATGATCCTGGTTCTACAGACACCTGCAGGGCCAGCCAGGGCCCTAGTCCTGATATCACCTGCATCCCAGAAGAGTTCTCTGGAGCGGAATACAGCCCTTGCACTGAAATAAGTTTTAGTAAATAGAATTGCATGACGCAGGACATCAATGCCTCTCCTGAGCTGAGTATACGCAATATTAAAAAATAAAACCAGCAGCGGAGACCTTCCTCCGAAAGTGAACACCAGGGAGGGAGCTTCTTGGTGTTGGCCCCTGATGCTGGAAGGACTTCTGCACTGAGGCTCGCTTGGCATCAGGTCAAGACTTGCCTCTATTCCCAGCATGTAATAGGATGTAAAGACACAGGAAGATGCATTTCTGCCAGCTGCCCTTTTGTACGCCTAGTATTTCTATGCACTTTGTCCGAGCTGCTTTAATGGTTTGCTGTTGCGTATCCTGACACACACTGCTTCATTTGTATTTGTTTTGTGAACGGTTGTGAATCAGCCAGACTGCCTGGCGATTGGGTGGTACAGAAATGAGAACGGCAGTGAAGGCAGCGTCTTCGCGTGCTTTGGGCCGTGCCGGTTAGTTTCACCGTCTCTCTCCATTGCAAGGCAGATCTTTCCTCCTGACCCCGCTCTTGCCCTAACCAACACAACTGAGTGTGCAGAATACACAGGAGAGATGGCACATGTTGTGATGTTTACCCTTTGCATTCTTCCCCTATTATTCAGCTGGATTGGAGTGAGAGATCTCAGGCACGGAAACATGTTCCCTCTTGTCCCATGGTGCCCACCTCTGGGTGAACCTTTTCAAAACTTTTCACTCCATGGGCAGAAAAAGGCCCAGACCAGAGGCCTGCTTTGTGCTGGGGTGGACAACAACTTCCCCCTAATCTTTTCTCGTTTCCCTTGCGACATGAGCTGCGAACACTCTGAGCAAGACTCTTCATCCTTCAAGATAACCCAGTTTGAAAGCCTCTCAGTTCACATTTTACATGCTACCGAAGAGCTCCATGGGCAAGGAGACGCCGAACGCATGTGACAGCCCGGTTACAGCATAAACACATTCTCTGTCGCAACTTATCCATCGACAACTCATTTCCAAGTAAGAACACAGTCTCTATTTACTGGCTAATAAGGGGAACTGGCAGGCACGCAACTGACTGCCTTTCTGGATTTGAGCTTAATGTGGCTTTCTCAAGACCACATGCGCACTCAGTGGTGACAGAAATACTTTCCATATGGGCTGCCTAAGGTACGTCTCAGGGAAAGACCAGAGCTAAGTAGTAGAACACATGGCCTCCCCCGCATCAAGCCCCGAGTTCCCATGCAGGGCCAAGCGAGAGGTCGCTCTTGGACAGGTAGCACAGATGCCCGGACCTGCCGGTGCACCGCGTTCTCCTATCCTGCCCTTTGCTTAGGTTGCGATCCACACAAAAGCGGGAAGAGCTTTGGCGGCATCCGAGTGCTCCCAGCGCCCAGGCCCTGCAATCATCAGCGCATTCAGAATCCGCTGAAACTCTGCTCCCAGGCAACCTGTGCTTTTATTTCAGTACAGCTGCCAAGACATTTCCCAACCCAGAATGACTTCCAAATAAAGCTCTTGTTTCAGAAATTGACTAACCGATTAATTCCACCCCTCTGCAAAACAGACACACACGCTTGCACAGTAACGGGCTGGAAGTGAAAGTGATCTGTAGCATCCACCCAGCAGCTGGAAGCACGATGCAGGCTCAGCTCGCTCTGGCATCGGGGAAAGGAGACGCAGGGAGCCCTGTAAACCTGCTGGAAGCGTCTGGCAAACTAACAAAAGTCATGCCTTTAATGCAGAATTTCTCCTCTTTGGAGGTGATTTTTGTTTAGCTCCTCTGCATCCCAGGAGACGCACACAGATCAGTATAAGCAGAGTGAAAAGCGAGTGGCGGAGACAGACGTTAACACAAAATAGAAAAGAGGAAGCAATCGGTATTTTCATGGAAATCCTCAAAATGATTACACTGGGGGGCTGGTGTTGTTGTTTGAGGCTTTCAGAATCTTTTTCAACCTGCGTATTTTTTCTCTGAGGTTTCTGTTCAACGATGGGGGGGGGGACACATTCAGCATGGAAAACTTCAATCTTAAACACAGAGAAGGAAGCCCCACTGATCTCATAACTTGCTTTCGAATGAATGTTAAGCAGCATCTATCAACCAGTTCCCCTGTCCATGCAACCAGATGCATTTCAAATGAAACCACAGACAAGCCTTCCAAAATGCAAGCAGCTTTCAGTATCCCCTTGCTCATGAATTCAAGTTGCTCAAAACATGTGGACTGGAAATGTTTATGGCCAGCAGAGTGGGGACAGCCAAAAACCAGATGACGACAACAAAACAGAGACCAGCAACCCTCAGCTGCATCTTAGTACCGAAATCCTCCAGTTACACAACCACACAGATGCCCAATATAGTGAAAGGTAGCAGGTAACAGTCCAGCATTTAAAATAATACACAAACCCCCCCTCCCAACGCACACATCATAATCTTCTTTCGTGGAAAATACAGTGTACCTCCTCGTCCATCATAGAGGATGAGCTAACACTTCAAAAGGTGGGTCCCCCCTTTCCTTATCACCAAGGATATTTGGCATGATGGTTGCACCGAATGCATGGACACCTCTTGGACAGGTAGGACTGGGCAGCAAGAAGAGGGTTTCTGAGAAGGTGCTGAGCTCGGCTTACCTCTTCCTGAGCTTTTCCTAATGTTGCGGCTTGAAAGTAGAGCAACATCAGTAACAGGTAGCTGGCAAACATGATTGCCCAACTCAACAACTGCCGTAGAGGTAGAATCCCTTTGCCAAGCGCTAACGGCTAACAGATGCCCCGGTGTCTCCGAACGATCCCACTCCCGTGCGCTGCAGCTCAACGCATGCCTCCCTCGTCTGCCTTGCTCACTGTGCTGACTACCGGGAGCTTCTGCACTCCGTCACTCCGCTCTGGAGACAACTGGTAAGCCGATCCTTCATGTAATGACTTCTCCCTGTTTGGGGAGGGGGGTTGCAGCGGCAGAGACAGAGAGGTGTGTGCGTAGGAGCTATTAAGTAAAGAAGGGGAGGGGCCAGAGAATGGGCAACAACTAATCTGGCATCTGCTCTGGTTTATGAAACTTCAAGAAGCTACGGCAATTTTTTTCTGCTCAAGGAACCTTGCCAGTGCCTTATTAACTTACATTATGCAGGCATGGCTGGAGCATTGGACGCTCAAGGTGCCCCTGGACAATTAAACAATGCAAGCTTTTAAGCGGCCGCCCCCACCCTGCTGACCACTAACTGAGCACATAATTCAGCGTGATTGGCCAAATGCAAAGTAGCTTCAAAACGTGACATAAAGAGCCCTCCCGGTCCAATGTTCTGTTCCCCCAGTGGCCAAGCAGCTGCCTGGGAAAACCCACAAGCGGACAGGAGCCCAACAGGACCTGCCCACCCAGAGCGCCAGCAACTGCCTTAGAGGAATGGACTGCCTCTAAGGACAGGAGCGGGTTCGTGTCCATCGCAACCCGTTGCCCCTGGTACCCTTTGGTGACTTTGTCCAACCCCATTTCCAAGTCATCTGAGTTGAGGACCATCCCACAGCGGAGACATTCAAGAAGAAACTGGGCAGCCCTCTGAGTGGGGTGGTGTGACTTGGTGTCCTGCAACAGCAGGGGGTGGACCTGATGGCCTTCATAGCCCTTTCCAATTCTACTATTCCATGATTCTGTGTTTTATGGTGGTGAATTCCACAGTGCATTTAGGGGCTGTATGAAGAACTGTCCTAAATCACCTGCCAATCAGTTTTGGGGGATTGCTGGCATTTCTTCAGTAAAACCTGATCCTGAACAATACCTTCCTCATCGTGTCTGGACACAAACAGCTCTCTGCCCAGTGCCCAAATGCTTGGGGAGGCAACGGGAGGAGCCCCACCCTCGCTGCTGCTTGTCCCACCACTGTCAACCCAGAAAGAAAGAAGTGGGCATCTCTTGCAGGGATGGGACTTGGCCGTGTGGCAGCCTTCCTTGGTGCCTTCTGGACACGGAGGGCTGCAGCTCTGAATGTCCATAGCCAATGGCTCCCATGCAGTATGGGGAGGCTGGTGGGGTGAGCTAGAAGGATTTAGACCTCCCAAACTCTCCACCTGTCCATCCTCACAGGTGGCTGTTGTGATCTCAGGAAGCAGCTGTTTTGGGGGAGGGCAATGCACAGGAAGGGGATGGGATGTCGATCTGCCGGAATCATCAGCTTCTCAGCTTCTGTTCCTGCTCACAACATGATAGGAGAGTCACATGAGTTCAGGGGCTCATCCAACTGAAGATGCTTTATAGGACGATCAGGAGGCAGAAACACCTGCTATTCCTCGTGTCCTACCTTGGCTGGCAGGGCATCGGACAAATGGAAGGCTAGAGAAACTGAGCCCTCCTTCTCTCCTGTATGCTTCAGCATCGCATGCTTCAGCACCAAAAGAACATAGGATTTGATCAGGTCACCCAAAGGCCAGGAGTAAAACAGATGCCAATAGAATGGAAGAAGGTTGAAAAGAAAGCATATACTGGGTTTAAAAAGAAAACAACCGCAGGAAAAAAAACATCTTTGTACGTTCCCTTCAGCACTTATTAGCAAAGTTTGCACAAACAGATCTGTGACCCAGTAGTAAAAAGATATTTCTCTCCGCTGTATAGTTTCCATTTGTATAATAGTAGCATCCCACCCTCTTTGACGAAACGGTCGGGTGTGGGCAATAGTGGACAACAGTCCCAAGAAGCAAGGCGGAAAGTCGCTTGGGCCTTCCCATTGCAACCCAGTCCAGTTTCAGTCCCTGTCTGGAAATCCAGGGGTGAACCATTTAGCACATGGATTGCACATGCTCTTGAAAAGGGGATGCATGTGTTTCAATGCTTTCCTGGATCCAGCGTCCAGTGAAGGCTTCAGACCTCCTCCCTACAAGGCAAGTGCCAAACATTCCCCATGCTGGGAAGCTCACAACCCATCAGACAGACCTCACGGTGACTCCACTATCCGTTTCCAGACTAAATTTTCTTCACCTTTCTGCTCCTGCGATAGTTGTAACCCTTCCAGTTTGCAAACATGCAACTTCTGGCTCCCATCATTGCTGGAAGTCATTTCCTCACTCGTCATACTATTCAGCAGCAGTTGGATATTTTGAGCAGACAGCTGCTTTGATCACATACGTATATTTATTTAAAATGTTCTAAACCCCTCCTCCCCTTGCAGAATCCGGAGGAGCATAAATTTGGGTGGGGGGGGATATATAAGTTTCCATTTGTATGCTGGTTTCAGATGGTAAAAGTAAGGGAGGTCTGCACTTCCCCCCAGCCCCAAATTTCTCCCTCATCCCAAATGAGGTCCTACCTCCACTTTGAACTGATACCACCCACGTATGGATCCCTCACTTCACTAAGAACTCTTATTAAAGCTCAGAGGAGCTGGATGCTCAGGCATGTTCCAGTGAGATGAGAAATGGGTGGGCCTTGGCTCAAAAGTATATCCTGCATTTCCAAGCTTAACACCTCCATTTTAGGACTTCCCACTGCCGAAGTGTGGCTGGAACGCTTTTTGGTCCAAGGGCCAGTTTCCATTCCAAAGAAGATGTCAGGACTGCAGTCCTGCGGGTGGGAAAGAGCGAAAGTGGGTGCAGCCAAACACAGGTGGAGGATGAAAAATCTGACCACTTCTAAATCCCAGTGTTACCAGTTTAAAGTGGGCAGCAAGTCTTGCCAGAAGAAGACATGAGCTGCCAGGTAAGTGGACAGGTACTGTATGTTTGGGTGGAAACGAGCAGGAGAGAATGATTTAGTAGCACTTTCAAATTGCTTCCCAAACACCAAGCTTCTGCCTGATTACGCGTAAGGAATCATGAGCATGGGACAAGCTTGTGCGTGACCACTCGGAAGCAAGCAGGGCAGGGTTCTGTAGGAGAGGATATGGACAGGAGCAGGCTATCAGCAGCTTCTCTCCTTGGTCCCAGGGAATTGTTCTGATCTCTGTCCAAGAAGAGTATTCTCCCCGCACAAGCGGGATGGAAAAGCACAGCCGCTGTCCTCTTGCGCAGCTCCCATTCATCACTAAGAGGGTTTGCAACAGGAGAACATCCCAGTGGAGCAATGCTTCTGATGACTTGCTACTTGATCTGGCAGAAGACTCGTTCTTGAGCTGACCTCTGTTCCTGCCGTATTTCCTTTCGCACTGCCCCAAACATTTGAGCTGTAGAAAGTTCATCTGGAATGCTGGGGGCACTCAGAGTTGTAGAGAGGTGAGTACTGTGGTTTTCATGGTGTGGCTGCAACCTGGACCCCCTTGCATCCCCAGCCACCGGACAGCCCCTCCCCAGCCCCTCCTCTCCAGGAACACTGTGGAGGACATGGCAGCAGCCAGAATCAAGGGGCAGCCTCATCGGAGCGTGTGTGTCCGTGTCTGCGTGGATGTGCCAGCGACAAAAAGGAGAGGAAGGCATGGGAGAGAGAAAGCATGGTCTCAGGTGCCCGCGGAAAGCCTTTTAATTATTTCCCAACGCATTTCAGGAATTATAGCTGCCTTCATCTGGAGCTTCTTCTCTTCCATGTTGTTCTGTACCCTGCATTTACTCCTGTGTCTGTCAGCTGCCATGTTTTTCCCAGAATGCCCCTCAGAATGGGGCCCTTTGCGGGGAAATGATGGTGGTTGCCAAATCATTTGACCTTTGAGGGAGTCCAGGTGAAAAGTACATGCTCCCACCTTCCAAAATCTCAATAGACGTACCGGCTTGCCAATGGTGTTCTGAAATGGGAAGGGGAAGTAGTCCTCGGCCTTGTTCTGCTCCCCTCCTTCCAAAGCACACGGACCTTCATCTCTGTCTTCATTGTGCTAAAATCATTGTCTTCGTCTCCTTTTGGGGCACACGAGCAGAGCGCCTGGGCAAAAGTTGTCCACCGTTGTCACCTGCCCAGGCTTGATCTTCTGTTTGACCTGGCCTTCCTCCCTCTTCAACCTTTGATGGCAGATTCCTGGTCTCCACCCAGGCTCTTTGCTCCCAGCAGAAAACAAGCAAACAAAAACGGCACAAAACTTGCCCCCCTCCGTCTCCATTCCTTGCAGCATAGCAGTGAATGTCGCGCACGAAGAGCGAAAGCTTGGTTGCAGAACTTCCTCCACCCAGGCAGACAGGGAAGGAGACCCTCCCGAGGGAGCCATCCTTCAAGGAGATAAAGAGGATGGCAAACCGAGGAGGGGTCTTTCTCACTGGCTGCACCCCATTTATGGAGTGGCTTCCCAAAGCCAGTTTGCCTGGTGCCATCTCTACATCTTTTTGGGGCCAGGCAAAAACAGCCCTCTTCTCCACACATTTTAACATTGTTTACATATTGTTATAATTGCCCAGTGTTCTTTATTCTGCTTTTAGTTTTGATATATTTTAACACTGATATTTGTCCCCTCAGCTGCATATTCTCTATTTTATCGTTATGTTGTTTATATGTGCTTAAAATCTGATGTTATTTTATGTGAAATGTTGTAATGCTTAGAGAGTCTTCAGCCTAGCTATAGAGGAATATGAGTGGAATAAATAATAAGAAATAAATAAGAAGGCCATCAAGTCCAACCCCCTGCAGTTGCAGGACACCAAGTCACACCATCCCACTCAGAGGGCTGCCCAGGTTCTTCTTGAATGCCTCCAGTGTGGGAGAGCCCCCCGCCTCTCCAGGCAGCCGGTCCCACTGTCCTATTGCTCTGACTGTGAGGAAACCTTTCCTGATGCCCAGCCTGAATCTGCGTTGCCGCAATTGATCGTTCCATGTCCTACACTCAGGGATAAGTGAGAGGAATCATAGAATCATAGAATAGCAGAGTTGGAAGGGGCCAAGAAGGCCATCAGGTCCACCCCCCTGCTGTTGCAGGTCACCACGTTACACCATCCCACTCAGAGGGCTGCCCAGGTTCTTTCTGAATGTTTCCAGTGTGGGAGAGCCCCCCACCTCTCCAGGCAGCTGATCCTACTGTTGTATTGCTCTGACAGTGAGGAAGCTTTT